AGCTGTTCTGAGCTTTATTCAGATTACAGGGGTCAGGCACAAGCCTTCGGCAAGGACCGAGGTTACGCTCACCTCTGTGCACAAAGGTGAGCATGGTACCCTTTACTGCTAGTGCCTTCCTGTGCAATGATGGGAGGCCATCATTTCTCCGTGAGGCCTGTTGTCTTTTGGAAGGCTGCAATAAGACCATTTCCTCATCTACATTTAGTTAGGATTCCCCCTGACACAAACCTTTTAAATCTTATTTACCTGATTAAAACAAAGAACCAAGTAAAAGTATCTCAAAGCACCGTAACTTAAAGAACCTGACCTAGAAACTGCCATATGGCTTTTTTTTTTGGCTTTGAAAGTAAGGGAAGGAATGCTGAATCATTCTGCTCCTAAGAGAGAAATTATAACACACCCTGATTTCAGGTCAAGCTTATTTTTTTCTGTCTTGGTATCTGTCTCTGAGTTTGTGGCTATACTTGTTTTTTCGGGACAGTTAATCGTAAAAACCTGTGGGTGGTCAAAGACCTTAATTTGCACTAATGACCCTGTCCTCATATAATGGGGTCATCATAAAAACACTTACAAAAATTTACACATCCACTCATGATCTCCCCAACACAAAAGCTAATTACAGTAAAAGTCTCTTATTTTTAAATTAGCCTTTAAAAGGCACCTCACTCATGCCCTAACCCAGTGGTCGGCAAACAGCCGCTCTGTAGACCAATGAGTTTGCCAACCACTGGAATAGGGGCTTAATCCCAAGGGACAACAGCCTGTAATTATTGGAATCGGGAGTCTAGGTCAGTGGTCGGCAAACTCATTAGTCAACAGAGCGGCAAACCGAGACCTGTGAGCTGCATGTGGCTCGCAAGCCGCAGTTTGCCGACCACTGCCCTAACCGGTTTGGCTCTGTGGATAGATCGTCAGCCTGTGGACTGAAGGGACCCAGGTTCAATTCCAGTCAAGGGTATGTACCTTGGTTGCCAACACATCCCCCGTAGAGGGTGTGCAGGAGGCAGCTGATCGAAGTTTCTAACTCTCTATCCCTCTCCCTTCCTCTGTAAAAATCAATAAAATGTATTTTTTTAAAAAAATAAAAAAATAAATAAAAGGCACCTCACCCAGTCATCCAACAAACAAGGCCTACTGTGGACCATTATAGAGCATACATATGAGGAATCCCCATTCATTTAGTGGGAAAAGGAACATAAACTTTATAAATAGATGTTATAATAAAATATGATGAATGCTATTTTAAAAGGTATGTACAATGTGATTTGGCAGCAGATGGGAGAGAAAAACTGCTTGGGCCAGGGTAGGAAGTTCAAGACTTTATAGAGATGAGTGGCTTGAGCTGGATATGAAGGAAGAATAAAAGTTTACCATGTGGGAGAGACCTGGCCTAGATGGGCATTGCAGGCACAGCAAATTTCAGTGCAAGGGGTGAGATGAAGTCAGTGCTGGCTGATGGGGGCTGGTGGGGGGTCAATTGTGGAATGGATGAGAGGAAACAGAAATTCTGGTTCTGCTGAGATCAGAATTACTGAGTATCAGTCCTTACTGCCAACCTGGATGCCCTTATTGATGTTTATAAAAGTTAATATGTAAAAAGTACTTACAGCTGTGCCTGGCACACAATTAAACACGATGTATATTATGCTTTGGCATTATTGCTATGCGCATTTTGGTGCCACATTCACCACCATCTCATTCCCAGGGGTGAGGATAATTAATAAATATTAGTTGAATGAATGAAGAACTTGAGGTTTCTAGGAAGGAAATGAAGGTGGATGTGATTCTCATGATGTTACAGCCAGCAGAAAGGTAAAGGGCAGGTATTTTCTATGGGACTGCTTCAGTCACCTGAAGGTCATTCCACTTTTTCCAGTCGTCTCCCCACCCAAATCTGTGCTGGGGCGTGTAGATGACTGGGTTAAAAATATTCATAAAACCTTGCATTTGCATAGCATTTTCAGTTTACTTGTGTTAGCTTAAAAATAACTAGTCTTTAAACCCAAAACTTTTCATTTCTTGTCTGAATCCTATTTGCAGATACAACCTGAAATTCTTTTAAAAAAAAAAAATATATATATATATATATATACACACACACACACACATATATATATATATATTTTTTTAATATATTTTATTGATTTTTCACAGAGGAAAAGGGAGAGTTAGAAACATCAATGAGAGAGAATCATCAATCAGCTGCCTCTTGCACACCCCCTACTGGGAATGTGCCCACAACCAAGGTACATGCCCTTGACTGGAATCGAACCCAGGACCTTTCAGTCTGCAGACCAACTCTATCCACTGAGCCAAACCGGTTTTGGCACAACCTGAAATTCTTTCTCTCAATTTGAGCCTCCATCTATGGAAGCTCAAGAGAAGATTTAAGCAACTGCCGGAGGCACTGACTCCATCCACTCTTTGATCTTGGGGAAATGTTCTCAAGAAGAAATAGAGAAGATGAAGGTATGAAGACTTTGTAAAGGTGGCACCTTTACTTCCTCAACTATGAAAGTACTTTGCAAAGTCACTATCCGGCCTTCATTTAATTCAATTTGGTTCATGTCCACATCTACCGAGAAAAGTACTCTAGGCTGCAGATGTCACTAAGCATAGTTATCCCACATCACGGGGCTTGGAATGAGGACGTCAAGTTTTTAACTGTGGGTTTGCTGCTAACTAGTGAGATGACACTGAGCAACTCATGTCGTCTCTTTGAGCATCCGGTTCTCGATTTATAAACTGAAGGGGTGAAACCGAAGGGATGATCGCAAAGTCCTTACCAGCTCTCACATTCTGTAATTCTCAAATGGGCAACAGCATCCATATCATTATAAAGATCTGTTTCTATGTTTCAGAGACAGTACATTCTGGAGTATTTTTTCTGAAGGATATTTTGGCTTAGCAAATTGCCAAGAGTTTTCTATAGTTTAAATACAGAAGAAACTGGGAAATAGAGCCGATAATCTTTAGTTATTCAAAATGTTTGAGTGCCTATTGCGTAGAAGGCACTATTCTAGTTACTTATTACAGCACTGAACAAAACAAATGAGATCTCTCTTCTCAGGGAACTCACTTTCTTATGCTTTAATTAACCCACCCAACAAATAAATCTTTTGATGTTCTAGATGGCAGAAACAGTGATCTAGTAAGTTTGCTTTATGTGTTGTGATATCTGTGTGGTTATCTGAACTAGCAAAAAAATTTTTTAAATGCATCAAAAATACCTGTTTTCGATTTCTCCATTGACCAGGCAAATAACCATATAGATTTTGTTGTACTTTAAAAAGTAATGACTCCTGGTTCATTAATTGATTGAGAGACACGGGACTTCAGTAAAATTTTGTTTAGTAAACAAAAGGGTTGAAATGCCTTCTGTAGCTCTAGAATTTAATTTTCTCTTTTGTTAGGGCTGCTTCTTTAAAATGGGGGTTTAGATATAAAACAGAGAACATTCCCTCACTCTTTCACAGCATGTTTGATGGGGTCTATCACAGGAACATGTGGAATTCTGGCTACTGTATCTAAAAAAGGCATCATTACAAGTTGTAAATAAATAAACTGAAGAGCAAATGAAGCAACCCTGGGTCTAGGTGAGTGAAAATAACAGATTATCCCACTTAAGTATGGCACTGACACAGAATTTCAGAGCTGGGGGAATCTTAGGCCTTGATTTTATAACTAGAAACCTAGATTCAAACCCATAACGTGTCTTGGTCAAGGCAAAGCCAGGATATTGTTAGCAGCAAAACTGTAATAAGAATCCAGGTCTGCGATTCCCTGTAATTTGGTTCTACATTAACTGGGAGCTTTAGCAAGTCAAGGAGAGAGAGAGATGGTACTCTTTATGGTTGACAGACACTGTTTTAGACTGAATGTGAGACATCTTATGTTGGTAGTATATTTCTCCAATAGGCTAATATATAGTCTGATTCTACTTATCAAGGATTTAGACATGGTTTTGGATGAAACATCTAGAACAGATACCTTCCACTAAGAAACGGGTCATATTCAAAATATTACTTGTAAGTAGCCGGTTCAGAATTTGGAATCCCATTCCCCCACTAAAGAGAAGTAACAAATTATGAGCTTGTTTAAGCAAGTGTGGTTGAAATAATATGCAAGGTATCCCAGGAAGCACCCTTAAGTAGGGTCCAAATCCGTTTGAGTCCTACACCCCCTGAAGTGGCTATAACCCAGGGCGAAAGTTCCTAATCCATAGATTCCTACGTCAGACTGCTTGCATTAAGAATAATTAAAAATACCTAAAAACATGATTGACCTTTTGTGGTCAGGGCCACAGATGATAACCATGTCTCTCCAGAGAAATCTCTTGGACACGACTGTGGAGAAACCAGTGAGACCAGAATGGTCTGTACCTGGAATCTTGGCTTTTCTGGAATCAGAATTCGACATTTTCCTTTTTTAGGAGAGATGATGAATTTAAAAAACAACGCATCAAAGACCTACTCTCCCACTTTACATTCAAGAGGTGACTCCAATCTTTCTCAGGTTTCTCCCCTATGTAGGTTCCTACTTTGGGAATGATATTCCCATGTAGTGCGTGATGCTTACGCGCTCTCGGAAAACTTTTAAAACACTCGTGTTAATGGCAATTTTGTACATTTCACGTGGGTTTCCATAAATCTCCCCCGGCAGGAAATCGATGCAAGCAGAATTTGGGACTGGCAGCTTGCTTTCCTTCCAAACGGCTTCAGGTAAATTCGAATTTCTCCTACAACAAAGTACCCTAAATCAATTCATCCCTGCTCCCAAATCCTGGCCCGGGGCCGATGGTGGTGGTCCAAAGAGGCTTTCAAGGTTAGGAGCTAGAAGATCCAACCCCAAGAGGTCTGGCTGGGGCCGGTGGCCGGTTCCGGGGACCCGGAGGAGACTTGCCTGGGGGAGGCCCAGGGTGCGCGCCCCCTGGCCGGCTCTCCGGACCCCCTGCGCGCCTGCCTGCCTCCCCGCTCCCCCGGGGCCGCCGCACTCACCGAGGTGGCCGCCGACGACGGTGACGGCGATCTGGTCCATGAACACCGCGCGGAAGCGCACGCCCTGCTCCGCGCAGCGCTGCTGGAGGGCGCGCAGGATCTGCACCTGCGGGTAGTCCTCGCAGATGCGCCGGTCCGTCAGGAACCAGAGCTGCGGGCACATGGCGGCCGGCACGGCGGCCCCGGCGCGGCGCGGACCCCGGGCTCCCCGCGCGCTCGCTCGGGCTGGCGGGCGTTCGCGCGCCCGGCCCCGCTCCCGCCGGTGCGCCAGGCGCCTCTGCAGCCCTGACCCAGCGAATCTGCCGGCCGCCGGGCGCCGCGCCGGCCCCGGGAAGCCAATCAGCGCGCGGCGGCGGGCGCGGGCAGCCAATTAGCGCGCGGCGGCGGGCCCTGGCAGCCAATCAGCGCGCGGCGGCGGGCGCGGGCCGGCCGCGCGGCCAGCTGCAGAGGCGGCCTGCGGCTGCCGGGGAGGGGGAGCGGGGCCGGCGGCCTGCGGCGGCCGGAGGACGGGATGCTGGCGGGGTTCGGGGCCCCGGGAGCCGGGGAGCCGTGGGCGGGAGACCGTGAAGCTGAGAGAGGGCATCCTGCCCTGGACCCCAGTGGGCGTGGCGCTGCCGGTCGGGGTGGGGCGGTTGGAGCGGGAGGGGCCGGGGCGGCGGCCGGGTGTCTGGGAGGGGGCGGCCCAGCTGAAGATGGACTGTTGTAAGGATGCGCAGAGGGGATGTGTCCCAAAGCCGATCGATGGCGAGCTTGGTGGTGATGGTGAGGGGAATGGGGGAGGGACGGGGGAAGAAAGGGTTGCGGTGACCGGTGGCCTCTTACAGAGCCAGGGCAGGGCCTCAGGAGCCTGGCGAAGGTCACCTGGCTAGGCCCCCAGTTGGACCCTGGCCTTGGAATTCTCTGCCCAAATACTGGCCTGGAGCTGGAGGTAGAGGGTTGATGGGGAGTTGGGTTTTAGCCGTCTCCCGTTTAGGTAGTTTGAAGGCACATTTCTCAAGGTCTCAGATGTTCTTACACTGGACACCCCCTGTCCTAGTTTGCAGTTCTGGGGCTGTAGAACCTCAACATGATGAAAAAGGATTTGTGACTCCTTTTTTAGTGAATAGACTTCTGGCTGCTCTTTCTTGCCCCTCAGTTCATACAACTGAGTCATCCTTAAACACCATCCTTGGTCCCAGCCAATTGCAAATCCTGTCTGCAAACAGCGATGTTGGAAGCCAGATTTTCTTTTCTAAATAACGGCTAGATTGAAGCTAGCCATCTTTGGAGACTGCATTGGCTCTTCCAGCTTATTAAAATATATGTTGTTGTTTTGTTTTGGCTTATGGAAGCAAGAGTAATTTCAAGGCAGGCCCAGCAATGACAGCTTAGAAATGGGGAAAGATGTCTCAAGTAAGATACAGGCTTCACTATAAAGTAAATATTATGGAGGTGCATTCATTTAACCTCTATATGTGCCTTTGGAAAAGTTCTGTCTAAACAAATTTAATTATTTTTCAAGCAAGTTTAAGTAAATTCTTTTATGTTACAAAATTCACACCCATGTATGATTTTTTTTTTTTTTAAGTAACAGTAACCTAATGCCCTATGGATTAGCAACTTTCAAAACTCTCTTCTAACCCACAGATCACCTTGGACACTAGATGTCCCATTGATATAGGTGCTTCCCACTGAGCTTCTGCAGGGTCATACATATGAGAACCATCTCATGATGACTCTAACCATTGCCACACCCAAGCAACCCATGTTCACATTTACTCACACCGTTGGATTCTGATGGCTCTCAGATGTGTCAAAAACAGTTCTTTCAGTGTTACAGGCAGCCTTCACCTGCCCCCCTCCCTCCTCGCTAGAACGTGTGCAAGGCATCAATGGGGAGTAACTAGATTTGGACCAGTTTAGGTAGTAGCCACCATGCTGGTCCCAGAACTGCCATGCCGATCAGCGCTCCAGCCCTGAGGCTGGGCGTGGCTGGCCATACTAGCGCTTTCCTTTCTGATGAGTGCTCCCATAGGAATCTAGAGTCCTGCCTGCAATTTGCCTCGGCTGACTCTACCTTTGCCTATGCTCCCTCAGCTCCTCAAACATACCAGTATATGAATAGTGGATATGATTTGAGGTTTTTTGTTTTTTGTTTTTTGTTTTTTTTTCTAGAAGGCTCCTCAACAGTCAGGCAAAGCAGAGAGTGCAGGAAAGACTGGAAGTGCTGTCATCTCACTGTACTCCAGTAACATCCAAATCCCAGTTTCATCCCATGGGGAATCCCTTCAATAGGAATAGCAGAGAACGTGGCCCCTGTTGCCACCATGTATGACCTCTAGTGGGGTGACTCAGTGAAATCACAGGTGGTCAAACACATATGCACATTTCTCAATCTGTGTCTCTTACACTGCTGCCCTGTAACTACTTTTTATTTATTTAGCAGAAGGGTATGACATTGAAGAATAGGATGCTAGGGGGAGAAAGAATAATAGGATGCTATATAATCTGGCACACAGCAACATTTTCTCGTTCTCCTTTTGTGTTATCTTCAATAAAAGTATATTGGGCTGAAACCGGTTTGGCTCAGTGGATAGAGTGTCTGTCTGTGGACTGAAAGGTCCCCTGTTCAATTCCGGTCAAGGGCATGTATATTGGTTGCGGGCACATCCCCTGTGGGGGTGTGCAAGAGGCAGCTGGTTGATGTTTCTCTCTCATCGATGTTTCTAGCTCTCTATCCTTCTCCCTTCCTCTCTGTAAAAAATCAAATATATATATATATATATATATATATATATATATATATATATTAAAAAGCATATTGGATAGGGTTCTAGGCAAGGATAAGAGGGAGGGACATGTCCCAAAGTGGTTACTAAATACATGAAAGAGGATTAGTAGAATCTAATCTAGAGATAGTGAGAATAGTGAAGTAGATGACCTTAACCATTTGAGCTTAGATCTGTCTGCTCAGATTAAAGGACATAGAAAATTGTAAAGAAAAGATAACTTCAACCATAGGAGTGAAACAACTTTGAGTAACTGACTTTCAAAGTGATCTGCCAACAGTCTTTCATCTACCAAACTAAATCCTCGTGAAAAGCAAAAGTTACATGAGTCACATCTGTTACTTGGAAAAATTAGTAATTGGCTTTGTCCCTTCTTGCCTGGGAAGCTGACAACATACTGTCAGTATTTGGTATTTAGTTGGTCATGTCTTGCTGAAGCCTTCAGATGTTATTTATTTTTTCAATCCTGAAGCCAGCTAAAGGTTCCTAGGAACCGTTGTTATTTGACAACATCAGATAATGTAGTCATGTTCAGTAGAGGAGAGTGCATTGAATACAGCAGGCACTAGGTAGAATATATAGGAAGTAGTAGAGGTAGTAAAACACACACACAAAAAAACACTGAACTGGAAGATTCAAGTTCTTGTCCTGTCTACCTAGCACTGCTAACTAGACAGCAAGGTGACATTAAGAAACTCATTTAAACCTCACTAGCCTTATTCATAACTTGAGATTCATAATTTGGTAACCTATTAAATATTAAATAAATAAAATAGCCTTAAGGAATCTCTAAAATACTTTACTCCTATAGTCTCATTGGAAGTGTCACTAGATATTCAAGAAACTCATAGACAAACACCTGGAGCCAAGAGCAAATTAGCTGAACTGAGCCAACTACCAAGAGGAAGCAAGCCCGAACTGGTAAGACCAGAGGTGCGGCTGCAAAGCCTGCGCTCATTTCCCAGGAAGGTGTGTGGAGGCCACGCACAGGGGCAATGACAGGTAGTACTGGGGAAAGAATGTCGTCATGGGTTCACTGAATGTTCCTTTCAATCTAGGTGTGAGCTTTGAAATACATCTAAATGTTCTCCATGATTTACTTTGGAGGGGGTATTCTATCACTATATCTCTAGGGAAATATATCCAAAAAGAGCTACTTACACAATATTGTTCTTCAAGTACCTTATAGAGCAGTGGATCTCAACCTTTCTAATGCCGAGACCCTTTGATACAGTTTCTCATGTTGTGGTGACCCCCAACCATAAAAGTATTTTCGTTGCTACTTCATAACTGTAATTTTGCTACTGTTATGAATTGCAATGTAAATATCTGTGTTTTCCGCAGAAACTGGTTTGGCTCAGTGGATAGAGTGTCGGCCTGCAGAATGAAGGGTCCCAGGATTTTGGTCAAGGGCATGTACCTTGGTTGCGGGCACATCCCCAGTAGGGGGTGTGCAAGAGGCAGCTGATCGATGTTTCTCTTTCATTGATGTTTATAATTCTTTATCCCTCTCTCTTCCTCTCTGTAAAAAAAAAATCAATAAAATATATTTTTAAAAATAAATAAAAAATAAATAAATAAATATCTGTGTTTTCTGATGGTCTTAGGCAACCCTGCTGGCGGTTCTCAACCTGTTGTAGAGCCTAAGCTAATTGGAAAACACAGATATTTACATTACCATTCATAATTCAGTAGCAAAATTACAGTTATGAAGTAGCAACAAAAATAATTTTATGGTTGGGGGTCACCACAACATGAGCAACTGTATTAAAGGGTAGCAGCATTAGAAAGGTTGAGAACCACTGCTACAGATGCTGTGAGCAACACAATAAACCAATGGTAATACTAACATAAAGAATTATGTTGTAATCATTCTGGATATACTAAATATGGGCCCACCAATTACTGGCTATCTCTTGACCTTGCTTGATCTATGATATTGTTTATGTTCATAAGATATTTGACAGACAACTCTTCAGTTGTCTACAAGAATAGGAGAGAGGATCCTGGCTTATAGGAGATAAGGCTTAGTCTAGGTCTAGGCAATACCTCCCAACCCCGGAGATTGCAGACAAGACATATGAGACGCTTAGAAAGTTTTCTGAACTCCACCATTTCCAAGAGATAGTCCCAGCCTATGTACCAAGTCTTATTCCCAATACACAATTCCTGGAGTCAAGGCATCATTTGCAATTATTTGCTTTTAGTTGAGCTCAGTACACCAGGGTGTTGGCTTCCCTGGGGAGTATTACACCAAAGCTTAGGCCTTTTGTGGGTGACTTCTCTTTTCTATCAAAGTTCTGAACCACATAATAAGACAAGAACTGGTAGAGGGAGGCCAAAATCAATAACCAGTAACCTGCTTATTTCCTTGGAGAATGTGGCTTAGATGTGA